TGCCTGGTCATCTTCATCCAAGATTTTGGAATTAGGAATGACAGTAAGAACTGAGGTAGCCAGGTGGGTCCTGCATCCCTGTTGAGCTAAAAATTCAAACCTCAGTGCTTTCAAACACCTACCCGAAATTAACTTTCACACCAACCAAATTGCACCAAGCAGGCAACCTCAGCTTTGCCCTCTAAAGACATCTACTAATGTACGGATACAAAAACATCTAAAATTGCCAACAATTCACACTAAACCAATACCAGAAAAACAGTCATAATCACAAAATACTGCACCTCTACCCAAATACCAAGACTTAACAGAAAAATACCTACCTAAAACATCCACATCATCATCCTTTGAATTCAATAAGCGTAAAAGACTACTAAAACACCACTACTGCCACTTCCACCAATGGACACAACTACTAAAAACACTCTCACTTCTGACACAATAGGTGCAAAGTTAATTTTGAATGTGTGGTACACTTTGGTTGGTGTGACCGTTTAAGTAGAGTAGCTGTTTGAAAGTTGTGAAGTGCGGAGAGTAACTGCCAGTTGCCAGCTTCCTTTTAGAAATGTGTGAGAAATACACAAGTTAGGCCTTCTTCTCCACTTCTGCTTCATGATGCCTGAATCAGAGAGAGGGAGCACAAGGCGTGTGTAAATGAGAACCGCTTTCGACAACGGTCCAAAACCGCCCCGGACACTCCCTTTCGGATCTTACCACCGATAGCATGTCAGGTCTCCAAGAGTCCAAAAAGTGAGTAGAAAGCAGGAGATTTGGCAGCAGAATTCCAGGCAAGATGGAAGCGCTGTTGGAAGGGCCGGAACTCTGGACACAGTCTCATGGGGGCGCCAGAAATAGTAGCACATGAGACCTGTACCCTGTTTACAGGGTGCTCATTCAGGGCAGTGGCTGCATTTGGCCAAGTGCCAAGAGACTAGAGGGCAAAGACCCGATCCCTGATTACAGGGTGGTCGTTGGCAGCAGGCTGTGAAGACAGCACGAGGCCAAGAGACCCAGAGGGCCTCGGAGACGCACACCTTAGTGACAGGGAGGTCAAGCTGCCCAC